ATTAAGGGATGTACTGTAGAATATGGTCATGCAAAATAAGGCATTAATATGTGCTTTATAATTACTAATAAACAGCCAATATCCTAGTACTAATGAACAACTAGTTAATATTGAGAATTATACCCTAAACTGAAGCGTAACCTAATGGCGTTTGTTATGAAAATGTGCCTAATTATCATTTAAATAATGTCATAATGCAAAGTATCCGTTTTCTTCAAGCAACATATAATTTCTTAATCTTTTTCGGTATGATTTTGGGGCTGAAATAAAACCCAGGCGTGTTCTTGCCAGTTTTCCCTGTTTGTTTGGCTGTTTAGGTCTTTTGCAGTCAAGTGGTTATGTAGCGGACGTCTCCTGAGGGAAATGAGGGATATCAGATCAGTTAGATGAGAACCAGAGGCCCCCGTGAGCAGAAAAGTGAGAAAACAGCAGCAGGGATCTGATTTCCTCTGGCCACAGGGTGAAAACATCACCCGGAGCCAGCAGGAGACGCGTGTCAAGTACGAGGGCTCTCTGTGGCTCGCAGCTCTCTCTCTCTCTCTCTCTCTCTCTCTCTCTCTCTCTCTCTCTCTCTCTCTCTCTCTCTCTCTCTCTCTCTCTCTCGAGATTGATTGGCGCTGGATAACGACGACAGGCCAAACAGGACGGCTACAACACAGCGTCTCGTAGGCTGGCAGCCTCTGTCCACGCTGAGCATCCGTGTGTTTTTGGGAGTGTATGTGTGCTCGGTTTTCGCTGCTTGTAAGTGCGAGAGCTTGACCTCCGAAAACTGTCAAAACATAACGACAGTGAGAAAATTGTCTCTAAGATGTCAGGTGTCAGCCGCCGGCGCTGTGTGAAAATATCCAGCCGGTCAGGCAGAAAAACAAACACCTGCATTTCAGGCCTAAAGATATACCACGCACCGGGCAGTGGTGGCAGAAATTATGCTTTTTATTAAGAGGCAATGTTTGTCCCCTAAAATTGATTTGAATGACTTTAAAAAAAAAAACTTTTTTGTTAGATCATGAAGCATATCTCATTGTATCTTGTTTTCTTTTTTGAAACTTGAACTCAAATTGGACGAAACAACCAAAAGATAAAATGATTTATAACAAATTAATAATAACTAACTGCTTCACATTGATACACTAACAACTTATGATATTAAATTATATTATATTATTTTTGAAATTTATTTATAGTATTTCTCTTCAAATTATGATACAATAACAACTAATATATTATATAATATTATTATTTTTAAAGATGTATTGATTATATTTTCTTCAAAATTTGATACAGTAACAAGTAATATTCTATTAATTATATTCTATTATTTTTTAAATGTATTTATAGCATTTTTCTACTAATTATGATACACTATATATTATAAATATTATATTATTCAATTTATATCTATTATTTTCTACTTATTTACATTTTTCTTAAGTTTATTTAGATTTCACCTCTGCATTCTGATTGGATGAGGCAAGTTTCAATGATATACTTACCTGAAATGTAATATCATATTTGATCTTTTCCTACATTTTCAAAGTAATGGTAGATTTATCGCAAATATGATGAATTTTGATTTATTTATTTTAATAGTCATGGGCATTGCAAGAAGCCAACTTCATCAACAATTAAATAATTATTTAAAATGCAATTTTATTATTTTTATAATTATTTTCACTTTTAATTGTTTTATCTTTTCATCTGATTGATCAATTTATCATGCAAACAATAAGGTATTTGTCTTTATAGTTAAGCATGATGTGTGTCGTCTTTTGTTGTTGTTCTGAAGTCTGTCCATCAAAGATTTTTATACAGTATATAATTACCTGATGTAAAGGCATGTTTATTCCACATATACTCAATGATACTAATTTGATTTGTGTGTATTTAGCAAAAGTATCAGAACAGTTTTGTCACTTTTTGTAGCATTTTCCCCCACAACCCCTGGTTATTTTCTGATGCTAGTTAGAAAGCAATGGAATGATAATATCAAAGCCTTATATGGAAATTATAAAAGTTTTACATTGCATAGGAGGAATATATATATATATATATATATATATATATATATATATGAAAGCATTACAATCACTAACTAAAATCTGTTTTTATTCCGTCTGCCTGCTGAGATTACTTCACACCCCTACAGACTACTTTTTATTAGCTCCATAACGGATTTATCGCTGCCAGCATGATGGTTTAGCTTTTTTAAAATCCTTTTTAGTCTTCAAGGTCCACCGTGCCATTGACAACCCACTATGCATCATAACGTGGGATCGGCTATATAAACCTCTTAAAATTGGTGTTCGTATATTCGGCTAGAGTAAGATCCCATTCCTCCAACGATCAGTTAAGTGACCTACTTGAGAGACGGAGGGGTGGAGAGCAACACCAGTGATGATTGCTGTCATTATAATCTAGTGCTAGAGAAAATGAGGCTAATGCAAGTGTCAATCTGCTAAATAAGTCCACTGGGCTCAATAGCACAGCTGGAGCTCTGGAACAGCGGTTAAAGCAGGCGCTGAATAACTCGCACACACAGCTTGGTAATATGGACACTTCACCTTTCATACAATCAAACAGCTTGTATATGTACAGTAAATGCATTATCAGGCCTATTGATCAGAGGAAAAAACAACGCACCATGTTATAAACAGATGTGACATTGAACATGGTGTAGTAGATGTTTGGATAACCAGGTAGTATATATATATATATATATATATACATATACATACATGTATATATATTTATATATATACATACACATATATATATATATATATATATATATATTATATACCGGTATGTATATATGTGTGTGTATATATATATATATATATATATATATATATATACATACATACAATATTTAGTGCTGGGCAACAATTAATCGCGGTTAATCGCATCCAAAATAAAAGTATAATAATACATGTGTGTGTACTGTGTATAATTATTTTGTATATTTAAATACACACACATGCATGTATATTTAAGACAAATGTGTTATTTTATTAATCAAATATTAATATGTATATATAATATAAATTATGTATAAATATATATACATGCAAATATTTATTATATATATATATATATATATATATATATATACATTCACATGTGTGTATTTAAATAATTATACACAGTACACACACACATATATTATGTAAACACAAACTTTATTTTGGATGAGATTAATCGTGATCGATCATATATATATATATATATGTGTGTGTGTGTGTGTGCCCATGTGTGTGTGTAAAATACCTAGAACTACGTTAGCCGTGCATTTCCCTGAAAATAATTGCACACCTTAGAACATTTGTAAACCAATCAGATTGAAGCATTCAACAGCCCCGTAGTATTTTATTAATTACTAATAAGAACTATTTTTCTCTTTCTTTGTCTGGCATCTTAGATGGATTTTTTCACTGGGCTTGTCACAGTGATTTATATGATTGCCTTCTTTGCGAACGATAAAAGAAGTTTCTTAGACAGCAGCATAATTAATCTGCATACTTTTAAAACAACCTAAAAACAGTGCTGAAATTGCCTTTAAAATGAGCTTATTGACGTGGAACTAGACCTGGACATGTTCTTGACGTGTGATTCACCCAGAGTGTCCATCTACCTCCTGTCAGTGGTGTACACACACACACACACACACACACTCCCGCTGTGATGCATGACGTGGTTCATCTCCCATAGCTGTGGTGACTTCAGTCTTCTCTCCCACTTAAATGACTGGAAGCGAGTGAACGGAGCCTGTGCATATTATTTGTGTCCTTTGCCTTTCCCCTGCAAATGTAATTTTTATGAGGTTGTCAGCCCTTGTTGCAGAAGCAGAACAGACTGTTTGATGTTAGAGAGAACAAAGTGAAGGTCTGGCTCAGATCTCACCAAATACACAGGGGCGGTTTATCATAAACATCAGTGAGAAGAACCAGAGCATAGCCGCTCTCTAGGTGTGTTTACTGAGCGTGGCAGAGCCGTAGGATCATGAAGATTCGCTTCATAAAACAATCGAAACCATCAGCCAGAGCATACCAACTCTTATAACCCACTTTTATAAAGTTCCCACCCACATTTTTTAGGAGATTATCATTGTTTTAAGATTTTCATTTGACATTACCGTCTCATCTTGTAATACGATAACAGCATACCAAGTATAATCCTTTAAAATAAAGAAGCAAAATATTTTACATTGTATATACAGTATGTATATATATATATAAATAAATTATTAAAGAAAAATGCATTTTAAATAACGAAAAACATTTAAAATGACAAGAAACTAAATTGCCAAATGTTTTAATTTAACACAACAAATCATTTACTAATTTACTATTTAATTTTTTCTTTAACTACGTTGTAAAACTTTACCAAAATTTAACATGTTTGAATTATTAAATTGATAACTTATTCCTTCATTTTATTTTATTTTGAAGTGTCCGGTCTAGTCTTCCATAGCAGTACCACCCTTTTCCAGACAACAGCTCATAGTAGCATATCACTCTCCAAAAGGGATTAAAAAAGCATAAATGATGAGAGATCCATTAGCTTTATGAAATGCTGTTCAACCGCAGATCAGTGAATCCTTCCTTCACTAAACCAACACAACTGAACACAGCCCTCGTCCTAACAGCTCACCTGAGCGCTAGTTAAAACCTTCTCCTGTAATTACAGAAAAACCCAACTGGTTTATAAAAACATGGTGATATTGGCACTGATTGCATGCTTTTGAAATTTCTTTCAAAATGATTATCTGGAGAGCTCTGAGGACAGGACCCAGCTGAGGCTCGTGTGTGTGTGTGTGTGTGTGTGTGTGTGTGTGTGTGTCTGTCTGTGTGTGTCAGGCTTGGCAAACACACTCAGTAAAACAGCACAGATGGCCCACGTTCGCACTTGGCTTTCTTACAGACTGACAGACAGACAGGTGCACTCCCATTTCTCACCACAGATATCTCCCCCCTCTCTCTCTCTCGCTCTCTGTCCCTCAGGAACTCAAGGAAGGAGCTGAATGACATACGGTTTGAATTCACTCCAGGGCAAGGTCAGTGCACCTCATCATGCATCAGCCAGTCGCAGCGTTACGCTGTCTTCAAGTCCTCCTGGGACGTTCCCACTTACGAGGCCGGAAACATTATTACGAAGGGATTTAGGTTGGGATGAAATGGACACAATTTCTTTTAGCACTAGTGCATCAAAACGAAGAGCAAATAACTTTCTCTAAGAACTTAAAGCTATTTTAATATATATATCTATTTTAATATATCCTTCAAAACTGGATTAACTGATTATATATATATATATATATATATATATATATATATATATATATATAAATATTTTAATACTTCAAAACTGGATTAACTGATTAAAAATATTTATATATATATATATATATATATATATATATATATATAATCAGTTAATCCAGTTTTGAAGGATATATTAAAAAAGCTTTAAGTTCTTAGAGAAAGTGCAAAGTACAAATTCCCTGATTTTAATACATGTGATTATATTATTCATTTAATAAGTTTAGAGAGAAAGTCAGTTGTGAAAATTATTCTTTCAACACTCCTATAAATCAGGGCAAAGTACTTAAAAATCTAATTTCAATTAATTTGGTATTTATGTTTACATATTATATATATATATATATTTTTTTTTATAACAAAACATCACTGTCCCCAATGCTGCTGTCATAATCATTGCACCAAGTATTTTAGAAAAATGAGAAGTAAAGGGCACATCTTTGTGAGGTTTCCAGAGTCAGTCATTCATCCATATGAAAAATATATATGTAAAATAATGTAAAATATATGTCATTTCCATTACACATAATTACCACAACACCATTCCACCATTTCTTCATAGAAGAAACCTAGAAGAATCCTCCATGAAGTAAATGTGCAGTCACTGTGCACACACTGAAAGCATGACGATGATTAATAGCAATTTAATTCCACCATGCCGACACGCCTCCAGCATTATAAGCCTGAGCTCAAAGAATATCCAGTTTCCTACTGGTGGTAATTATGACATTGTGCTGGTGTTCATGTGCGTCTTAAAATGATCTTTCCAGAGTGACTTGAAGGCAGTGTTAGCAATATTAAAAAAGAGATCTCACGGGGTTCCTTCTGTTCTCAGTGTGACTCTGTGCATAGATCTGGGTGGGTGGTATGAACAAAATGGTCCAATTTAGACATTCTAATAACTTTGCAACTACATGTCAACTAACTCTCATTAGAGTATTACTAGACTGTCTGCTTAATATCTGCTAACACTTTATTCTGATGCTCCCCAACAGACATTATAATGACTATAAGTTTGCAACTACATGTCAACTTATTCTGCCAACCCTAAACCTACCATTCTACTTCAGTCTACTAATACTCTAATGATAATTATTTGACATGTAATTGGAAAGTTAATTATGGTTAGTAGCATGTCTGAAGTAACCTTTTGTTGTTGTTGCTGAAATTGCAACGAAAACAATGTTCATATATATATATATATATATATATATATATATATATATAAAAAAATATTCTCTTTTTATTTGGATCTTGATGGACACAAATGAATAGATCAGATTATTCATAACAAATAAAATTCATAACTAATAAAGAAGTCATTTAACAACTTAAAAATAAAATGTTTGTCAAATAACTCTAAATTCTGATTGGATGAGCCACATTTGTAGTTGTAAAATATAACTTCAACGTGGCAAATTGTGGCTAAAGCTATTAATCATAAACAACTAATCTCTGCTTTGTGTCTACCATTGATTGATACATACCTGGGCTTTTTTATAAAAAAAAAAATTAATTATGAATTAATTTAAATTTGTGTATATTCCATTAGAATTTTAGTTAAAGTTGTAGAATTTTTGTTGTGTTTTTGACTTTTTTTTTTTTCCTTTTTTTTTTACAGGTTGTATTCACTTTTATTTCAGTTTTAGTTATTTTAGTTAAGCTAAATAAAAATGTTTTTGCTTTGGCAACTACCGGTAGCTGAAATAGCTAAATTTTTAGCTGAAGTTTTTAATATTTGATTTCAGTTAATGTTGTTTTTATTTCAAGACAATGTTTTTTCTTCTTTTTGTTAACTCTATTAGCCCTGCATCACACCGCCCAGCCCTATATCTGACTGGTTCAGTGCATTCGAGTCCATTGCGACTTGTTTGTTGATGTTTGTGTGCGTGGGTTTGCCAGAACATACTTTTAACTTTGTGTTCTGACAGTTTTCCTGCTGTAATATCATGCTGTGCATCTGTGCGTGTGTGTGTGTGTGTGTGTGTTTTCTCAGACACTGCTGATGGAGTTTCTCAGGAGCTCTTTTCTGCTGGTCTGGTCAATGGTCATGATGTTGTAGTGGGTAAGTTGAGCGTGCGTCACATTAAACTTAGTTTTCTCGTCTGCCACTTTAAATGGCGAGCTCTCTAAAGCAGGATGGATTATGATTGGCTGTTAATGTTTTTATTGTTCATCAGCTGGGAAAAAAAAATCAATCTGAAAGTGATTCCAAATATATCCTTTATTATATACAAAGGCCATTATCTGTGCTATTACCGTTATATAAATAAACGTGAATAGGTGCCATGTAGTAATTACCATAATTTCAACTTGTAAGAAGCATTCACGTCCTCATAGAGCTCGTAATTACAGCTTGTAAGATGGGAATTTTCTGAGAGCTTCAACTTGTTCCACCTGACCACTGCAGATTAATCTAGGCGTTGATAAGTGTTGTGATAGAAATGCATTATTCCCAGTCTGAGGTCGTGAACAGCTCAGAATAGAGCATCACGTGTTGTAATCTCGGTACGGTAATTACGACATGGCGTGAACGCAGAAAAATGTCTCGCTCCTGGTAACAGAGAATGAGTGAACATTGTTCATATATACTCTCACCTAAAGGATTATTAGCACCGGTTCAATTTCTCATTAATGCAATTATCTAATCAACCAATCACATGGCAGTTGCTTCAATGCATTTAGGGGTGTGGTCCTGGTCAAGACAATCTCCTGAACTCCAAACTGAATGTCAGAATGGGAAAGAAAGGTGATTTAAGCAATTTTGAGCGTGGCATGGTTGTTGGTGCCAGACGGGCCGGTCTGAGTATTTCACAATCTGCTCAGTTACTGGGATTTTCACGCACAACCATTTCTAGGGTTTACAAAGAATGGTGTGAAAAGGGAAAAACATCCAGTATGCGGCAGTCCTGTGGGCGAAAATGCCTTGTTGATGCTAGAGGTCAGAGGAGAATGGGCCGACTGATTCAAGCTGATAGAAGAGCAACTTTGACTGAAATGACCACTCGTTACAACCGAGGTATGCAGCAAAGCATTTGTGAAGCCACAACACGCACAACCTTGAGGCGGATGGGCTACAACAGCAGAAGACTCCACCGGGTACCACTCATCTCCACTACAAATAGGAAAAAGAGGCTACAATTTGCAAGAGCTCACCAAAATTGGACAGTTGAAGACTGGAAAAATGTTGCCTGGTCTGATGAGTCTCGATTTATTTTGAGACATTCAGAGTCAGAATTTGGCGTAAACAGAATGAGAACATGGATCCATCATGCCTTGTTACCACTGTGCAGGCTGGTGGTGGTGGTGTAATGGTGTGGGGGATGTTTTCTTGGCACACTTTAGGCCCCTTAGTGCCAATTGGGCATCGTTTAAATGCCACGGCCTACCTGAGCATTGTTTCTGACCATGTCCATCCCTTTATGGCCACCATGTACCCATCCTCTGATGGCTACTTCCAGCAGGATAATGCACCATGTCACAAAGCTCGAATCATTTCAAATTGGTTTCTTGAACATGACAATGAGTTCACTGTACTAAAATGGCCCCCACAGTCACCAGATCTCAACCCAATAGAGCATCTTTGGGATGTGGTGGAACGGGAGCTTCGTGCCCTGGATGTGCATCCCACAAATCTCCATCAACTGCAAGATGCTATCCTATCAATATGGGCCAACATTTCTAAAGAATGCTTTCAGCACCAGTGTTTCCGCTACATTCATTCTGCCGTGGCGGGCCGCCACACCTAAAATCATCCCGCCACGGCTATGAGCTCTGATATTGTCAAGTCAAGTCAAGTCACATTTATTTATATAGCGCTTTTCACAATACAGATTGCATCAAAGCAGCTTCACAGTGATAACATGAAAGTAGTACAACACAGTTCAATAATATTGTTGAATATTAAATATCCCCAACTAAGCAAGCCAAAAGCAAGGCGACAGTGGCAAGGAACCAAAACTCCATCAGATTGGATGGAGAAAAAAACCTTGGGAGAACCCAGGCTAGTCAGGGGCCAGTTCTCCTCTGGCTAACAATCATAGGGTTTTAAAGAAGCTTTACAGTAAGTGCATATCAGAGAGTACCTGGAAAAAATACATTTAGTTAATCATGTAATATTTAGGGGATAACATATCGCCGGCGTTGAGTCGTCTCTTCGCAGGCGTTGAGTCGTCTCTTCACAGGCGTTGGTCTTCTCATCACAGGCGTTGAGGCATCCGAAATCCCCGTGAGAGGCAGGATACCAAACTGGAGCCTACGAACGCCATTTTTCTCGGGACAAGCGTCCCGAGATAACAGCAGAAAGGCAGATGGGAAATAATTAGCATAGCTGATGTTCATAATGATTTCCATTACACGGGAGTAGGTGTTAGAAAACCATAATCTCACAACTCTCCGCAACCCAAACTCTCCGCAACCCAACCGCAACCATACGGACCGACCCGTTTGTCTATAAGGCTGTCGAGCCCCACTGGTGCGTTAAGCAGTTTCAGTGGCAAACGGTTCCGTATGGCATAGCAGAGGACTAAAAGGTAAGCATTATGTGAATGCTTGACTAAAGAGACACGTCTTTAGTCTAGTTTTAAACTGTGTCAGCGAGTCAGAGCATCGGACCGTATCGGGAAGGCTATTCCAGAGTTTTGGAGCTAAATGCGAGAATGCCCTCCCTCCTTTCGTGGACTTCGATATCCTAGGAATGACCAGAAGCCTTGAATTTAGTGATCTTAGAGAACGCGGTGGATTGTAGGGCGAAAGAAGGTCCGTTAAGTACATAGGAGCTAAACCATTAAGGGCTTTATAGGTCAGTAGTAGTACTTTGTAATTGATACGGAACTTAATAGGTAACCAGTGCAGAGATGATAAAATCGGTGTTATATGATCATATTTTCTTGATCTAGTAAGAACTCTAGCGGCTGCATTTTGCACTAACTGTAGCTTGTTTATTGAGGATGCAGGACAACCAGCTAATAAAGCATTACAGTAATCTAGTCTCGAGGTCATGAATGCATGAACTAACTTTTCTGCATCAGAAACAGATAGCATGTTACGTAATTTAGCAATGTTTCTAAGGTGGAAAAAGGCTGTTCTTGTAACAGATGAAATATGATTTTCGAAAGACAAGTTGCGGTCTAGTATAACACCCAGGTCTTTTACTGTAGTGGAAAAAGTAACAGGGCATCCTTCTATATTAAAGTCGTATTGTAAGAGGTTTTGTGTGTAGTTTTTTGGACCAATAAGTAATACCTCCGTTTTATCTGAATTTAATAGCAGGAAATTACGCGTCATCCAGCATTTTATATCTTTGAGACATTCTGTCAATTTAGATGAGGTAATGTTTTCATCTGGTCGTGATGAAATATATAATTGAGTGTCGTCTGCATAACAGTGGAAATTAATTCCATGTTTTCTTATAATATTACCAAGTGGCAGCATATATATTGAGAATAGCAGAGGGCCTAGCACCGATCCTTGCGGTACTCCGTAGTCTACTGACGTTAACTTTGATTTTCCCCCGTGTAAAGAGACAAAATGATAACGGTCAGATAAGTACGATCTAAACCAGCTTAATGCCTGTCCCTGAACACCAGTGTAGTTTTGTAGTCGATCCAAGTGTATTTTATGATCTATAGTGTCGAACGCGGCGCTAAGATCAAGTAGGACTAGTATTGAGATACAGCCTTGGTCAGAAGCTAAGAGTAGATCATTTGTAATTTTAACTAGCGCAGTTTCTGTACTATGATGCGGTCTGAATCCTGACTGGAATTTTTCATAGATATCATTTTCTTGCAAAAAAGAGCACAGTTGAGCAGATACAACTTTTTCTAGTATTTTGGACATAAATGGAAGATTTGAAATGGGTCTGTAATTTGCTAGGTTATTTGGATCTAGTTGCGGTTTCTTAATGAGAGGTTTTATTACTGCCAACTTGAATATTCTTGGAACATGACCTAAGAATAAAGACGAGTTAATAATATTAAGAAGAGGCTCTTCCACTACAGGTAACACTTCTTTCAGTAGTTTAGTGGGTATTGGATCTAATGAGCATGTTGTTGGTTTAGATGCAATAATAAGTTTATTTAGCGCTTCCTGTCCTATCGTTGCAAAGCGGTGTAGTTGTTCTTGAGGGACGATAATTGAGGCTGAATCATAAGAGACCATAGAGGATTGTACATTTATAATTGTGTTTCGAATGCTTTCTATTTTCTCATTGAAATAATTCATAAAATCATTACTACTAAACTGTAACGGTATATTTTGCTCTGGTGATGTCTGTTTATTTGTTAGTCTAGCCACGGTGTTAAATAAGAACCTTGGATTATTTTGGTTATTTTCTATTAGTTTGCGGAGGTGCTCAGCCCTGGCTGTTTTTAGAGCCTTTTTATAACGTGACATACTGTCTTTCCACGCGATTCTAAAGACCTCTAAATTTGCCTATATTGTGTATAGGCTTGTGTTATTGTAAAGCTAAAGGCGTAAAAAAAAAACATTGTAAAGCACCATAAAGTTTTCGCACTATATTCCAACACTTCTAAAGTCATTCAATAGCATAATGTGAGGTAAAAATTAATATTTAAGTTAAAGTTAATGGAAACTCATCTCTCCTCAGTCATTCTCCATTCAGCATTCAAACAGCGCGTCGCGTTCGGTTACGACAGTAACACTACGACACTCCCTTCAAGATCAATGTTCCCATTATTATTCTTTATTTGTAGATAAAGGTCTATGGTTTGCACTTTGCATAAAATGACTTTATCTTGCTGGAGTTTATAGCGCTTTCTAAATCATATTCCTTTCTCCCGGGTGTCTGTTAGATTACAGCACTGGACTAGAGAGCGCTGTGAATTGTTCTTCATGCACACTGTAACTGAAATTTAAAACTGTTAAAAGAAAAGGCTCAATAAACTGTTGCATAGATATAATACATTAAGCATAGATAGATATAATCTCTTCGCTTTGTGCTTTGAACTTTTCAATGCGAAGCGCAGCGCACTGTGACTTCGCGTTGCTTCAAGTGCATCATTCTGCGCACGCGATGCGCATAATTGCTTTGCCACTCTTTAGGCCAATTTATACTTCTGCGTCGAGTGTACGCCGTAGTGTACGGCGTGGGCTACGCACGTAGGCGACGCCGTCATGAGCATTTATACTTCTGCGTTTAGGTCTGCGTTGCTCTGCAGTACAGCGCCGAAACGCTAGTTGGCGGCGGAGGGTTTTAATGTTCCACTGTGTTTAGATTCCTCGCGGCAAGAAGAAGAAGATTCCTCGCGGCTGTTTTGAGTTTAGGTTACTACAAGCAATGGCGACTGAAAGAGAGCAGATCATGTTGGAGTTGGAGCTTATCGAGGTGGAAAAGGTAAATTTTTAGTTTTTTTTTAACAGTTTCGCTGTACTTAGAATTTAAAAATGGCGGGCGGTGCAGAAGAACACGCCGGAAATGCATAGGAGGAAACGCGATGCTACCAAGCCGACCAATCACAGATCTTGCGGTCCGCGTCGTCGCGACGTGTAGTTACATTTTTGAGGAGGTGCGCGTCAGGTTACGGCGAAGGGTACGGCGTATGGTACGCGTCTGTGCGTATGCTACGCCGTACCTACTGCGCGCACCCGACGCAGAAGTATAAATTGGCCTTTATTGGAGACATTTTTTTATTATAATACTTAGGGGAGGTTCAAACACCTGGGGCAAGGGGGCGTGGCCAATTGGAATATCACTCATGGGCCACGCCCCCTGGGGAAATGGGCCTTCCACCACGGCTGGAAAAAATCCTAGAGGAAACACTGCAGCACCTTGTTGAATCAATGCCACGTAGAATTAAGGCAGTTCTGAAAGCGAAAGGGGGTCAAACACAGTATTATTATGGTGTTCCTAATAATCCTTTAGGTGAGTGTATATTACTGATATTGTTACAATACAAAGCAGGTTGAAAAATGTAAATAACTTCTGACCATTACATCAGAGCAGCTCATGATGTTTCTGGTGTTTAAATGGGACTGATACCGGCTTCATCTGCGTGGAGGAAATTGCAAAAGGAAACAATCTCAGGGGTCATTAGTCCACTAAACATGCAGAGCAATATGCTAGGTATAAGGGTAAGATGAGTCGCTCTGTCCATGCATCAGTAATGCTATAACCGCACCAATTAATGTGTATAGTTAGTATTCACGGTTACACACAATTTGGCTAGTGGGTAATTTGAGTTCGAGACCCCGGCTTCAAGCCATTTCAGAGCAACTACGTGAATACTGAGGTACTGAATATCAAGATGTCATTTGTTTAACCATATTGCTCACTCCTAATGTCAGTATCTTTTTCTACACCTGTTTTCCCAGTGGCTGCTAACCTTCAGAAGATTGTAGAAGACCCTGTTACCTATAAAGTGTTGACCTTTAAGCTGGTGAGTATTCACATGCTAAATGTCACAGAGAATGTTGCGGGATTCCAATGTGGGATGTCAGGGCTGGAAAAGTAATGGAAATTAATTTCATATTTTCATTAAATCATTTTCTAGTTACACTAGTTTTAATTAATTCTCTTGAAATTGTTCTTCGTAGGTGAAGTCCTTATGAAATGAGTTTTTTTTACCCAGTTATGAACGATTGGAGCTTTGCAGAGAATGCAGTCTGTTTTTATACAATGCAGTTTATTTACTTTCGGCAAATTCATTGTGCATTGAATATGTAACAGCATACGTCCCTCAGGTCCAACACAACCATTCATTTATTATTTGCTGAAATCACGTCTTTGACAGCGTGTAATGAATTTTCATTACATAATTCCTTATTGAACACATGACAAATCTGAGAGAATATTAGGAGAGTGTTTAATGATGCCTTTTAATGCGCACAAAAAAATGACAGAACTGTGCTATTCTGGCAGATACATGAATACCCAAATTAAAATGTCACTGAGTGTTACTGTTAAATGCATACAGATGAAGAAGGGAGCGCATTAGACCCCGGCCCCAGCGGCAGGATCCTGTGGGAGTATCTGCTCATATTTCCCCCGGACTTTTATATTTCAGTCTCTGTGGAGGATTAGAGACAGATAGTGGTGATAGACGGCGCTTTAATCCACTTTTAAGTGGATACCGTTATATTGGATACGATGCCGTTTTGCACCATTCACATGAATCTTCTGGTGAGATCGTATCCCAATAGATAGGTTTCATGTAATGTGAGGTCCTCCATGGTGGTATTAAAGATGTAGTTCATCTTAAGATAGAAGTTTTGTCAATGCTTACTTGCCATTATGTCGTTCCAAACCCTCATTTTTTTCTTTGGAACACGTATGAAGAACATTTGAAGAATGTACAAACAACACAGAGTTCATAGTGCCTGCTAAACATGGACAATAGAAGCAAATATTTATATCACAATATTTGAACAAACTGAATATGACGTACATTACAATATTATTATTTTACAAATAAACATCATAATAATGCTAAAACAGTATTATGATGTCTACCTATGATGTTTTGCGGGGGGGGAAACGATTTTGAAATTGTAAAGTTACGAAATAAAGTTGTATTGCTTTGAGAATAATCTCCAAATAGGCCTTTTATGAGAATAGTCATGACATTTCAAGAATAAAGCTGTGACATTACAAGATTAATAAAGAAATATTTTGATGTTTACTTTATTTCATATTACTCCATGATATGATATCAGTTTTTTTGTGGAAAATTGGGAAAAAAAGCAAAACAAATATAAAGTATTTTTAAGCAAATTTAAAATTTAAATAAAAATATTATATATATTAATATTTAATATCTATATAAATATATAATTTATTTATATGTGTGTATATATATATATATATATATATATATATTTTTTTTTTTTTTTTTTTACAGTCATGAACAATACTTTTATTTTAAAACTTGCCATTATTTTATGGCATTTTTACATTTTATTTAGCATGATATCGCCAACTCTAGTGGCTTCCAGGCTGCAAAAAGGGCATACATTTAATATGTCTTTATTTTTGTTTTAATTTTGTAAGGTTCCATGTTTCAATTGAATGCCAGTGCAAACGAGATTTGTAAGCTAGCTGTTGTTGTATGGAAAAGAGCGGGTTTGGAACAACATGATGGTGAGTAAATAACGACAGAATCTCAGATGAACTTCTCCTTTAACCGCAGGAAACGCTAGCACTAAGAGCAGGTCCCGGTGGACTGGCCAATGCGGCGCGACGCCTGTGTTTAATCACTCCTTTAGATGGAGCCGAGAGTTGGCGGTAAACAACATCTGCGCGTTAGCAGCCTTTTGCAGAGCGCTATCTCTACAGCATCTGCCAGCTCTTACCCTTAACTTCACCCTCCAACCCTCCACAAAACTCCCACAATGCATTTCTCACTCGCACCTGGTGTGTTTAGAAAATCACATTAGGACGTGTGGAGTTTTATTGTTTAATTTGAGCTTGAGCGTCCCATGAGAGAACTCCATATCACATGATTAGAAAACTACTCCACATTAAAGCTGAGAAATCTGCTGGTGAAACAGGATTGTAGACGGCACTGCATGTGTGTGTGTGTGTGTGTGTGGGGAATATCTCAGGCAGCCTGGTCCTTCGATCTCATTTACTAATGTCACCCCTGACTACACTGTGTAGAACTCAGACAATTATGCTGCTTGGGTATTGAACCGTGAAGAAGAATTATGTTGTGCGCACACATGCAGGCTCTGTGGCGTGTGCATGTACATGAGCTGCAATAGAGAACGCTGAAGATACATCGACCAATCAGCATTTAGAACCGGAACTATCTGTTTCATAATGAGTGTTTTTTTAATCTACAAAACGATGTATATGTATTTTAGGGCTGTCAAGCGATTACAATTTTTAATGTAATTAATTACACGATGTGGCGATTGATTAATCGAATTAATCGCAAATCAAATCTGGCTGAGAAATTGCCCCCAAAAAGATAATGTAAAATCATTAGTGTTAAATGAGAAAAGCATTAAAAAGCTATAGAAAAGGTAGGTTTTCTTTTTTGATTCAACATAGAATTTATTGCACATAAACTTTTATATATTCAGATCATTTTTAACATCCCCGCTACACGTGTGAAATTGTTTTGAACCATTATGATGTTGAAAAATGGCAACTGGTGAAATTCAGCCATGTAATTCAAAATGAAGTGTTTGAGTCTGATTCTGAGTCCGAAGAAAGCAAACTACACCTCAAATACCAACAATACTCCAGTCTGCGACCGAGTGGTAATTAATCATCTTTATTTATATTTATATAAAGTGCTGTGCTGGGCAACGTTTAATCGCGATTAATCACATCCAAAATAAAAGTTTGTGTTTACATAATATATGTGCGTTTACTGTGTATAATTATTTTGTATACATAAATACACACATATGCATGTATATATATTTAAGAAATATTTGCATATACACTACCGTTCAAAAGTTTGGGGTCAGTGAGAATTTTATTTTTATTTTTTGGAGGAAAGAAATCAATACTTTTATTTATCAAGGACAGTAAAGACATTTATAATGTTACAAACGATTCTATTTCAAACAAATGCTGTTCTTTTGAACTTCCTATTCATCAAAGAATCCTAAAAAAAAAAAAAAAAACTGTACAACTGACAGACCAACAACTGTTTCAACATTGATAATAATAATAAATGTTTCTTGAGCATCAAATCCTCATATTATACTGATTTGTGAAGGATCATTTGACACTGAAGACACTGACACTGGTGATGCTGAAAATTCAGCTTTGATCACAGGAATAAATTACACTTTACTATATATTCACACAGAAAACATTCTTTTAAAAGTATTTAAAATCGTACCGACCCCAAACTTTTGAACGGTAGTGTACATATATATATATACACTACCGTTCAAAAGTTTGGGGTCGGTACGATTTTAAATACTTTTAAAAGAATTATCTTCTGCTAACCATGGCTGTGCTTATTTGATTAAAAATACAACAAAAATCAGTTATAGTATTAAATATTATTCCAGTGTAAATCAGCTGTTTTCTGTGTGAATATATAGTAAAGTGTAATTTATTCCTGTGATCAAAGCTGAATTTTCAGCATCACCAGTGTCAGTGTCTTCAGTGTCAAATGATCCTTCACAAATCAGTATAATATGAGGATTTGATGCTCAAGAAACATTTATTATTATTATCAATGTTGAAACAGTTGTTAGTCTGTCAGTTGTACAGTTTTTTTTTTTTTTTTTAGGATTCTTTGATGAATAGGAAGTTCAAAAGAACAGCATTTGTTTGAAATAGAATCTTTTGTAACATTATAAATGTCTTTACTGTCCTTGATAAATAAAAGTATTGATTTCTTTCCTCCAAAAAATAAAAATAAAATTCTCACTGACCCCAAACTTTTGAACGGTAGTGTATATATTTATACATAATTTATATTATATATATAAATATGAATATTTTATAAATAAATTAAAACAAATCTTGAATATATACATGCATGTGTGTGTATAAAAAAAAAAATATATATATATATATATATAATAATTTTACACAGCACACACACACATATTATGTAAACACAAACTTTTATTTTGGATGCGATTAATCGCGATTAATCGTTGCCCAGCACTATTTATTTATTATTTGTTTGTGAGGTAGTATTGTTTTTTATTACATTATATTAGTATTAGTATTATATTACTTTCAGTAAAGTGGGAACACAACAAACGATCTGTAACAGACAAAGCAAGAGTGACATGTTGTAAAAACACTCACACTTGTGTGTTGCGACACTGTCTGATACAATAAAGCCACTGCATCATCTTATACTTTCAGTCTCTCTGTAAAGCCTGCGTCAGACTGTGGTTGTGTTCGAAAACACCCCCTATAACCTAATTCACTATTCCCTACATCACTCCACTAATATAGTTCACTTGAAGGAAGTGAATTCAGACACTGAGTGCGCTGGAAAGGCTGTCTTGAACTCTGTCATGGAAACTAGCATGTATAATTAAACAATTAAATAATCAACTAAAAATTAATTTCAATCTGTATGATATTACACTGTAGCCACTTTGGACCAGTGGTTTGGAAAATGTATGGATGGATGATTCAGCTGCGGGCGCAAACTTCCAGTCAGATGCGGGAATTCATTCGATGCGCGACTCTCACAGTGCATTATGGGTATTCTCTAGCCGCTGAGAGCATAGATATCCATAATAAAGGCTAGATGTCTCGTCCGCGCTGCTGGCCAAATGGAGGTCGACGTCCGCACCTGGCGGCCATCTTGCCACAGGCAGCTCGCTCACTCGTAACATTGTGTTTTAATGGTGCATGTACTTTTTAAATAACCATAACTTGCTCAATTTTCTACCGATTTTCAAACGGTTTGGTTTGTTATAAACGTCAGAGATGTAGTTATGACACTGCATACTTATGAATAATACTGTAAGTGTATAAATAAATAATCATTCAGAATTATAGCCACGTTAATAACGTTTGTAAGAAACCAAACCGTTTGTAAATCCGTCAAGATTTCGACGAGATAAGAGTATTTGTGTTCGTGCTGATCACTCATCTCACATCAGGCACCACAGAGCCCGCCAGAAAGCTTGCCTGTGACAAGATGGCCGCCGGTGATGACGATAGAGACTCCGCCGTAAGACATCTAGCCTTTATTATGGATATCTATGGTTGAGAGTACATCGGTTGTACGCGTTATTGTGGTGCATTGTGGGATTGAATGAGTTCACTCGATATCGTCCACTATGGTTTCAGACACCACTTTAAATGGCTGTTCCCTCAAATAGTGCCCTATTTAAAGGTATTGGGGGCGATTTGAGGCACAGCCTGTGTCTTGTTTAAAATCGAATCTGCAGTAAAATGAAGTGAACAAACAGTGTTTTACTGACACGATCTGGAACTTCGTTAAAAATAAAGGTCCTCCACGCTTTCCTAATGTTTGGACAATGCAAAGACTTTATCCACAACTTAGCACTTCAAAATGTCTTCAAAGTCTCTATCGTTTTTGTTGCTAGAGTAATCCTGTATTTACTACTACATGACATGCGCAAATCAGTGGGCGGGGCTAAAGAGGCAATGATGTAGAAGTAGGCGTTCATCATCTTCTGCAGAGGCGGATCATGTGACAAAATCCGAAACGAGACGTTTTCCGAGCTTGGTTTTAATAATAGCTGTATAATGACCTCTTATTTGTCAAAAGATCAGGGAAAATGTCATTTCTCAATTCATGACCCCTTTAAGCTTATTAATATTTCCACACATCACCTTTAATATATCAGCGTCTACATTATGTGTCCATCAGAGGGTTTTCTGCATGCGTAAGCGCCCAAACACATGCGCACACACACACACACAGAGAGCGATATAAGAAACACTTCCTTCTTCACTGAGTAATTCATAATGCTTCACCCAGGAGAAATGTTATGATGAGTTACGTCAGAGAGGAGTTTTATGGGCAGACCTTTCATTTAGCAGGAGCGTGAACCCAGGCCGTATTTCACCGCAGTGTTTTTAGAGAGAGCAGACGCTCACTAACACACACACACACCCCTCTCTAAGATCAGTCGTCTGACCCTGAGCTCCTCCAGAGAGTACAGACAGCAGAGAGCGAGCGATCGATTTCCTCCACACACTCGGGCTGTGTGTTACCTGTGATAAGATACTCTGCTCTCTCCTCCGTGATTAGACACTTGTCAGAAGATTACAATTTCATTACTTTCCTCATTTGCTTTTTTTATGCCTTTCATCCCTTAACCTCCCTTTTGAAGTCTATTAGAGATTAGTTGTTGGAAATCAAGTCAAAATGTATGCAATTAGTAACCATTAGGGAGGGGAATGATCCAGATTCAGTGCAATTTAAACACTATTTTTGTTGCATAATGTTGATTACCAAGTATGGGTTGGTTATTTATTTATTTATTTAAGCAAGTAAATGTGGTCCAGTGCTCCTAAGGGTTTAAAAGCACAAATGAGAAGCTGCTATTGCTGTTAAAGCACCTGCATGAATTATTTAAACCCATTTCTTATGAGCTGTAAAGTTGTCTAAACACAGTGCTTTCTGAGGTGAGACTGCTGATGTACTGTAAGTCCTGTTGAGTTTGCATCATGTAAACAGTCTTTTTCTGTTATCCTTCCTCGTATTGTGCTAAAGTTTCCCTGGTTTACTAGCATTGCAGAATGTGCGGTTGACCTAGTGAGATGCATTGCTGTCCCTCATATATGACTGATTTGAGTTAGCAATCAGCATGTTCATAACGAATGCTGTATTAGGCATAAAACTGCTTTGCACACAATTGCATACAATTCCCTTTTATATTTTTTTATTTATTTATTTAATTTGTCTTTTTATCAGTACTTTTGATTATTATTAAATGCTGTACATGAATATTAACAAATTTAACTAAGTTATATTAATATAAATAAGTATAATAATTAATTTAAAATTGGACATCAGAGAGCTAGTCTCCTGCCAGTATGTATAATATTTTATAAAGTCTGTAAGTACTTTATTACATTTATTATGTTATTCTAATGTATCTAATAGTCAAATAATTACCTGTTGCATATATATATATATATATATATATATATATACACACACACACACAATGTGGCGGTAATGAGGTAATAAATTGGCTATTAGTAAAAAAAAAAAAATATATATATATATATATATATATAATATTATGTGGCGTAATGTAGAATGCCACCGGTAATAATTTGACTACGTAAAAAATTATAATGAAAAAATATATTAATTTTGGCACTCTACATTGTGCCACATTATATTATTATATATTTATTTATTTTTAAAAATGTTTTACTAGTAGTCAAATTATTATCTGTGGCACTCTACATTGCACCACATATTTATTGTATTATTTTAGATTTTGTATTATTTTATTAGTCAAATTATTACCTGTTGCATATATATATATATATGCAACAGGTAATAATTTGACTAATAAAATAATACAAAATCTAAAATAATACAATAAATATATATATATATATACACACACACACACAATGTGGCGGTAATGAGGTAATAAATTGACTATTAGTAAAAAAAAAAAAAAAAAAAAAAACATATATATATATATATATATATAATATTATGTGGCGTAATGTAGAATGCCACCGGTAATAATTTGACTGTAAGTAAAAAATAATAATGAAAAAATATAATAATTGTGGCACTCTACATTGTGCCACATTATATTAATATATTAAAAAATTTTTACCAGTAGTCAAATTATTATCTGTGGCACTCTACATTGCACCACATATTTATTGTATTATTTTATTAGTCAAATTATTAGCTGTGGTTGTCTTCATTATGTCACATTATATTGATCATATTATTATTTTTCTTTTACAAAGAGTCAAAATATTGTCTGCTGTAATCTACAATATTCGACATTATATTTATTTTATTATTATTATTATTGTATTTTATATTATTTACCAATAGTCAAATTATTGTCTGTGGAAATCCACATTATGAGCTGACAAAAGCTCAACACATTGAACCCAGAACATTCCTTTAAATAATGCTTCAGAAATCACAAAGGCGGTGATTTGTTTCAGCTGCATTAACGCGTGTGTGTGTGTGTGTGTGTGTGTCCAGGCGTCTGGTTGTGACAGCACAGAGATCCCAGATGAGGTGAAGTTGATTGGCTTTGCCCAGCTGAGCATCACCTGATAGCATCTCATTCCCACAGCAGAGGGAGTTTGTGGGACGAGACTGAACGCTGCAGGAGACGACGGGACGGGGTTCACTACCACACACCGCTGCAAACTCACACTTCCTGTTCCTGTTCCTCCCCATTCACCTGCCCTCGCCCTCGAATGTTTGCACTCGTTCAATCAAACGCAGCGCTCTTATTCAAACACACGTCCTCTTTCCCTTTCAGCAAAACATTCCAGCACCCATTTCCCAGAGTTCAAAGCAGGAGCCCATCATCTCAGGAGGCAATGGCTAGTAAAACAAAAAAGAACGTTTTTATTTTTATTATTATGATTGTTTTTGTGTTACCTCTGCCTTCAGCAGAGCTCTTACCGTATTATTATTATTATTAATAATAATTAATTTTTTTTATTTTACGTCCTCTTGTTTTTATGTGGAAGAGTAGCTTATCTGATGCGTAGATTGTAGACCACAAAACTGAAGTGGAGACGTCTCCCTCTGAATGTAAAAAGCACATTTTCATTCTGACTCTTATTTTAGCACATTTTAACTGTATTGTACATAGAGACCTTCTGATGTCCAATGAAAAATAAGGGAATATTGCATTTTTTGCTTTCTTTTTCCAGAGGACTGAACCGAACGCTGCCATGTGCAAACGTGCTGCTTCATTTTTTCGGGACAGTGTTGATGCTTCAATGCTAGAGGTGCCTTGTTTTTTGTTTTTTTGTTTTTTTTTAAATCCGTGCCTAAGAGATGTAGGTGACATGCTTGAAGCTGTTCTACTGACACTGAACATGAAGGACGCTGATTCTTCGATAGTATTTTCACTGGTCGGTGGCTCGCGTTGAAGTTAACAGCTGATGCACTTTGATTTCACCTTTGGCGCTTTGACTCGACGCAACTATCCAGATTTAACCTGTTAAAGCTTTGTCGTGTGACAAACAAGGTCATCGCTACCACTACACACACTTAATCCTGATGTGTTGTATTTACAAAAAGACCGTCGATGGTCATGCGTCATTTTTACAGCACTAGAATGTGTTTGTTTTTGAACCCAGAATGCATCTGTCTATCAGCAAACGTGAAGTATTTTGTAAAGGAAACCAAATGTCTACTACTGAATGACAGAAAAGCCATCTGTGTGTCCAAAACGAGTATAGTAGCTTGAATTAAATTATTTTGTTCTCAGCCCAAATGTAAATAATGTTAACTAAATACTTTTATTATTATTATTATGAAGTTGATTTGTGTTTTCTATATACCATGCGTGTACTCACCTTAACTATTCAGCCCATGTTCCCTTTCTGTAATCAGCAAAGAATATAAACTTTCTGCGAAGGTACAACAAATAAAAAAAAGAAAGAATTGCTACTATTAAACCGGAGCATGGCTGTGTTTTGGAAGAAAAAGGGTCCTAACCGTATAATGTGATTATGATATTATCTTTTGCCTGCCTCTGTGTGTTTTTTTAATACTGTAATTGCTATAATTTACCGCCGGCAAACCCCCAGAAAGAGATTTCATTACAGTGTTTAAGTATCTAATCGTCTCCTCATGAAATGGTAAAAAACCATCAGATTTATGTTGAGCGTTTATGTGAGTACTTGAACTAGTTAGGGCTGGGTCAAATATCTGAAAGAGAAATGGGTGATGATTTTAGTATGCTTTTTATGTTTTATATTGGTCCACACTATAATAATATTTATTATATTATTATTTTATCTTATTTTTTTAGGAATAGTAACATTATTGCTTGTGGTAAATTAAAATATAATTTTATTTATTATTTTATTATATTAAATTTTTTTGCCTGTCATAATCTACATTATATATCTGATTTTTTTTTAAATGAATAATATAACTTAACTGGATTTTAAAGCTGCAGTCTGTAGTTTTTCCTCTTTGTCGCCATCTCTGTTCAAAATCTGCAATTGCAGTCATTCGCGGAATTATCAACTTTACGTGAGTTGTACCTCGGCACGGCACAGCCCGGATGAACACAATGTTTTGAGGAGAATGTGAGGCTGTTAGTCACCGCGCCGGTGTGGATACTGGCATTCAGAATCACAGATTATACTTTTTGTAAGTATGACCAACAAATGAATTTTCACCCTAAAATGTCATCTGAACAAGTAACATTGTTCTTCTGACCAACTAAGGGAAAAAAACATTGCAGTAAATCGCGCTGATTAAATTTAACGATCGTTTATCATATCACGTCAAACCGTGCAAATTATACTTTGTTCTCAAATTGTTAATGTTAACAACATTAGCATTGCGCGACTACATTTAAAGCCCTTCCGATATTATCCTTGTTTTCGCATGGGCCGGTTGCAGTCTCTTTTTCCAAACTCTCAGTTCAAAGTCTTTTGCATTTTACAGCGGGTGAATCTCTAGTTGTCACTGGTGATTGTCGTTTGAACCTTTTTGGATCCGCCATCAAATTAATAAGTTTAATTATATCAAGTGCTGTGAGAAAAGGCTATAAATCTCCACCTCCAACATCCTCACACGCAATATAGCTTATACTAGCCGAGACTCTTCTTTATGTGTACAGATGTGACGTAATGACGCAAAGACAAGCTCGAATCTCCCACAGAAATCCACCAGTACCACTGGAATTAATAACATTATTACAAGCTTACCGCTTTGAATCGAGCTACGGCAAGCAGAGAGTTTTGAACACTGGCTAGTCATATACTTGCTCAAACTATTAATTTGGATAATTTTTAACCCAAAAAAGTTACAGACTGCAGCTTTAATTGATTTGTTCTTTGGTTGCTTAAAATCACTCTTTTTAAACTATTGCAGAGTAAATGCATCAGATATATTTTCAGTCATGGTAATACATTGAAATACAATTTAAAGTATTTAAAACAATCGAGAAAATGGAGTGAGATTATTTTATTACCTTCCATCATGCTGTGGAAGGTGTCCAAATGATGTCACTTCCTGGGTACACAACTTATCACAAGAAATGACTGTGAAATGTGTGTATATATATATATATATATATATATACACTATAATTGTGACTTTACATATATAAATAGCAGTTATGTCAGTGATGTGTGATTTTAATTGTTGGATCATCCCTCAAAGGTCAAAGGCGCCATTTCAAAGTAATGGGACACCAAAGTGTTCCACTATTCAAGGTAAGTGCCATTTTTGACACGATATACACTGATTGCCTTTAATCCCACCCTGACAACAGCCTTCCTGGAAGGCATCCCATAATAGACCCAGTCCTGATTGAAAATCGGTTGTTTTAAAGCACTTGCTCCATTATGCCACACACAACAACGCCAAAGACTTTATTTGTCACGGGTGTAGACGGAGTTTGGCAAGACCACCGGTTGGCACGTCTCGAGCTGCCTGACCAGTCTGCCAAGAGGCACTATTGTGGGCATTTGGCAGGATGAGTGACTGGCGAAATCCTCCAAGAGTGAAAGTGGGTTGGACACTGCTGGAAATCCACAGCACATTTATACTGTCAAACACGTTCATCTAAAGGCAAGACGTCAAATTGAAAAGTTGAACAAATTTGACAGAAATGTTAGAAACTCTTTTCATTTCCAAGCAAGCAAACGTTTTACAATTTGCTACACAGGCTGCAATTTATTTTAATTTTATTTTTTGAAATATTTGAACTAGAAACAGCATATTAGTATTTATTGAACATAAGTGTCTGTTTTAATATTGCTGCTGCCATTAAATACATGCACAACGGTTAAAGGGGTTTTATGTTTGGGGTTTAAAAGATTTTTAATTTCTTTAGTTTAAAAAAAAAACTATTTTGTATTTGATAAATACAGTAAAAAAAACAGTAATATTGTGAAGTATTATTACAATTTGAAATAACTGTAAAAAATAAATTCAATAAATTATGATTAAACTATAAATTCTATTGTAATATATTTTTAAATGTAATTTATTCCTGTGATCAAAGCTGAATTTTCAGCATCATTACTCCAGTCTTCAGTGTCACATGATCCTTCAGAAATCATTCTAATATGCTGATTTGATGCTCAATAAACATTTCTTATTATCAATGTTGAAAATAATGGCGCTACTTAATATTTTTAAGTGAAAACGATGATACATTTTTTTCTTTAGGATTCTTTGATGAATAGAAAGTTCAAAAGAACAGCATTTATTTGAAATAAAAATCTTGTGTAACAGTCTAAATCACTTTTGATCATTTGTCCATTTATCATTTATTCAGCAAGGGCTGAATAAAATAAATGTATTTTCCTATTTGACTAATCTTTGAATATAAATAAGCAAAACGTATACAAAAAGATCAATGTACATTGTTATATATTTTTATGTAAAAAATACACAGTATAATACAATAGTACCCATGGGGATTATAATGTTCATTGTTGTTTTCACAGTTAAATGCCACATCCCCTCAATAAATCCAGACGATTTAAAAATGAAACAAAACAAAAATAATGAAACATGTGAATCACATTTTGGCCTCAATTAAATCAAATTCCAGAGAAGGAAAAAAAATCCACTTTTTTTTTCATGTTTCTCACCCAAAGTGCTTCATTATATAACACTGCGTTCCAAAAGCAACGTTTCTACAGGGTTGACCATGTACAGTAGATACTCACTAGATGACACTTGATACCAAGCGTTAATGACTTTAGATATATAGATTTACAGTAGAACTACAAACATGAGTCAGCTGTTCAGAAGCAATGGGCTTTTCAACTTCTAGGAGTAAGAAAATAATTTGTATACCTCTTATAAATAACGAACTCTACATCGCCGTTATCTTTTCCAAGAAAAGACGGTTTTGAACATGTAAACAAACAGTATGCAGGCGCGTTCACATACAGTAAACAAAGCAACGTTGCATGGAGCTTTCGTTTGTACAACCAGAGTTATGTGCAAAGAAAAGTGAACGCTCTTCCTCCGACACGTTTGATGCGCATCCCAACCCAAAAGAAACTCCAGCATGTTGAACCTTTACAGACTGGCACGGTTATAATATTAACACGGATAGCATATTTCCCCAACCGATTCTCATCCCACTGCTAAACAAAGTAATCCAAGGGGTTGTTGAAATTCCCCAGGATGATGTTACAGTTTTTTAAGAAGGAACTCGGCGCGTCCCAAGGCTCCAAGTCGCAACTTTTGCATCATGGGTATTAAAAAGGGCACAAACACACAAGTCCTCAGGCAATCTTTGACTAACACTTGAGATGCTTCTTGCTGGTCATGTCGTTCCAGATGCGATGCATCTCCTCAGGGGAGATCTGGTGTACGGTGATAACTCTACGGTACCTGCAGAGACTGTAGGCCATTTTCCAGTGATTGAAGCCACTGTTCTGATACGGGTGAATGCCCAGCTTCCTCAAACACACCCCGACGTAAACGTCCTCCAGATGCAAGAGTCTGGTGTGCAGGGAAGTCTTGTAGATGAGCTCCGCAACGTCCGCCGAGAACACGTACCCCGTGCCCGAGCAAAACGGTGGGTACTTGCTTTCGGGATACAGGTCTCTGGGCATGTACCATTTGCTGCGCATGTCCCGTATGGGTCCGCCGTTGATGACGTACCCGGTGAAGTACCTCCGTCGAGGTTTAGTCGCCGGCTTCAAGAGTTTATAAACCAAGTTGTCCATGTTCACGAAGATATCGCTGTCCGTTTTCATCACGTACTTGGCTTGGTTGCAGTAAGTCGCCACCCAGCGCATTCCCATCAGCGTTTTGAGAGTGAGGTTGTGGTACGAGTCGATGAAGTCTTCGACGACGATGTCGTGAAAGATCTCGCTTTCCTGCTCCACCATTTGGTTGAGCACCGCATCCGTACTGCGCCCGAGAAGAAACAGCGTTATGATACGGAGGTCGCTGAACGTGCTCTCGTCACCCCACGTCTCCCGGATGGCCTGGCGGGCGTCGAACTCCTTGTGCGTGGTCGTGATGAGGATGACGAGGAAGGGCACGTTGGTTTCGCATTTCTTGGGCTCGTTGATGATGAAATCGAAGGTGTGCGGGTTCAGCGGACGCGTCCTGATGTTGCCGAAGGGGGTGGTGGCGTTGCTCTTGAGCGCTTTCGCCGCCTTACGCGCCGGCGCGGACAGTTGGCTTCCGTAGGATGACGTGGGTCTGGATATACTTAGATACCACAGAGCGCTGGCCCAACAAACGACCGTCAACACGTAGAGGCATGACACTTTTGAAGGCATTCTGATGCATTTACGTGCACTTGGAGCTGTAGATCTCGGACGGCCCCGCAGCCATTAGTGATGGTTCCCCAGGCAGAAATGCAGAACGCAGCGGCATCTGTGTGCAGCTAGACAACACCTGTCAGAGCTGTCTGTTCCTCGTATAAAATTGGTGGGATTTTGTTGCAGGGTTTTGAATGCTCCCTGACACTCTTCTGCATGTTCCACGGAAATCTGAAAAACAAATCCGCAACTGTTGAAAACTACTGACAAAACTGTTGGTGGATTGCAGAATGGACACAATCATTTTTATCTTCCAGTTGGTCATGGTCATTGCCCAAAGTCAATTATAGGCCTATAAAAAAAGGCTAAATCAATACAACCAAAAAGATGATTATATCATGATTTATCACTATTTTAAATAGAGCAATAGCTGAAGCAAACACACACCTTTTTGAGGTGCAAGTTGAAGAAAATAACTTAGTAAAGACAAGAGTATAACTGCACACTCACTTAAAGGATAATTCCGGTATTTAGCACTTTGAGTCTATTTTCTAGTTTGTTTTGGATGAACTAGAGTGGGTGACACAGACATTTTGACTCGACCTTTTGACTCTTTTAGAATCGCCTCTGAGCGCTTCAGAGTGGCTGTCTATGGGCATACTCAAACATGTCCTTAAAACAACCCTTAACGTTGGTTTTCAAAACTGTGCAACTCACCGAGTGGTTAGTGGTTTTCGTTGATGATTAAAAACAAATATATCGGCGCAATGTATGATTTCATTACGTGTTATTTGCTATAGTGGAACTATTTTTTTCAAATACCTCACAACCGCGTATAAACTTCCGCTCGATATTTGAGTCTGAAGCGTTAGCACACTCCCGACCACTTGATGGCGACAACCACTTTGCCGCAGTTGCTCAGCTCACGCTAGCCTTCCGAGAGACGGAGAACCGAGCGAAAAGACTACAACCAAATGTAAACAGACCCCTTTCCGTTTCCGGTAGCGCAGTAATATCAACGAGCACTGAGTCCTCCAACAGACATCAATGCGATTTTACAAAATGCCAAATAAAAACACGACAGAAACTGTATTTCGCTACGCTACTTGTTTTGGAACATCAACGAACACCACTAACCACTCGGTAAGTTGCACAGTTTTGAAAACGAACGTTAAGGGTTGTTTTAAGGACATGTTTGAGTATGCCCATAGAAAGCCACTCTGAAGCGCTCAGAGGCGATTCTAAAATAGTCAAAAAGTCGAGACAGAACCCATCGTCAAAATTTCTGTGTCCACCACTCTAGTTCATCCAAAACAAACTGGAAAATAGACTCAAAGTGCTAAATACCGGAATTATCCTTTAAGTATTTTTAATATTTCAGATGTTTCGGCAGACTTTGTCAAAGTTCAACTTCTTACAAAATGGAGAACACCATAACTAGAACCAACAATTACCCACAGGTGAGATCAATGACATCAGCCAGCAAACAATTAAAAGACTCTTTCTGAAGTTTATATTAAGAGAGCAAAGGATACATCAACAGTTGAGCACCAACATAATAAAACCCACATTAAGTGCACATCAATTTTAATCCAATAGATATTAAGTTTACTCATTTATAAGAAACAGCTCAAATCAGCTTGAATCTACATTCAAACAATATGGCACCAAAGTTTTTAATTAGTGCATCCAAAAGGCTTCTCGTTTCAGTAAAAGTTGATCTAAATCACCTCCTCTTCTTTGTAAGGGCACCTTCTTCATTCCTATATAAAGTAATGAAGTAATTGGATGGTAGTAATGAATGGATTGTAGTAATGGTGGTAGTAATGAAGTAATTGGATGGTAGTAATGGTGGTAGTAATGAAGTAATTGGATGGTAGTAATGAATGGATGGTAGTAATGAAGTAATTGGATGGTAGTAATGGTGGTAGTAATGAAGTAATTGGATGGCTATGCTCAGCAAAACGTTGGTCCCATGTATGGTTTGAATGTGGATTTTTCTTATAAATGAGTTGATCTGACATAAAACCAACAATTACTCACAGGTGAGATCAATTTATGGTGTTTTCCATTCTGTAAGAAGTTGACAAAGGCTGGTTGTCTGCCGAAACATCGGAAATAATAAAAATACTTAAGTGAGTGGGCAGTTCTACTGTCTTATCACTTATTTTAAACCATGTTAGAAATGTGTTTAGTCATTTTAAGTCTGAGAACATTACTTATATTGTCGACAATTGGACTTTCCCATTGGCTTTTGGATTATGGCAACAAAAAAAAAAAAAAGTTCTGTGACCAACAGAAGTTTATGATTCTTACACGTTTTGAGCATTATCTGATTAAATATGCATTCATTTGCATACATTTCTAGAACAGAAATCTGAACACTGGATGAAGCCGGGTTCACAATTCTAATATTCATCTTTTTGACATTAAATGTTTTTACAAAGAAGATTTTTTTTATCTCTTTTTATTACTCCATAAATCAGAAAATACTCACAAATTCACCATGATTTGAATAAAATGTTCTATGAATCAGGTGAATGGGATATGAACAAATACACCAAACTTCACAGTTTTATTCCTGTCTATATTCTGAAGGTTTCTTTGGTGTAAGTGGAGATTTCTGGCTCAGTGCAGGAGAAAACAGAAAACAGCCCTTAAACAGACTGAAATCAGATGAGAATAGATAACGTAAATGTTTTGGATGTTTTTCTTTACTCTAGTCTGAAAGAAGTCTCAAACTAGCCCAAAATCTCAACATTGACTATAGCGCATGAAAAAACAATGGTTTTGCCTGTAGTGTTTTGCCTTTGAAAGTTGGAACATTTCAGATAAGATAGTTTTCATGAGTTTGAATAAAATATGACTTCAAGAGACTTGGAATGCATGCTTCATTTGGATTGTTTTGATTTTTTTAAATGCTTCAGAGTAATGTGACTTCTGTCATTATTTACTCACCCTCAGGTCATTCCAAACAAATATCAACGTGTAATAAAGTAAATAAAGATAGAATTTTCATTTTTGGGTGAACTGTCCCTTTGAGAGGAGAAGAAAGAAATCAGCCAAACGTGTGGAAGATTGGTTACTTGAGTAAGTACAGAGCATCCCTCCTGCTGGCACACAGTTTGTACACTGCACACCGGCTTATTACCCCCCACCCAACCAAATCTCGGAATAGACAGTTAAACAAATATTATGATTTTTATCCACCGCATCGCAGGAGATTGTTAATGTTAGAAAGCATTAAAGAATAAGAGGTGGAGAATGTGCATGTTTGAAAGCAGTTGTGTTGCCTGTATGGAAATGAGTGCTGTGTGATTCAAGTTTGATAAAGAGAGCTGTGTCGACATATAGCGGCTTTCTAGCCGAATCCTCTTCTCAGTGGGGAAGATAACCAATCAGCGCATTTATGGAAGTGAGAAAATATCACCGGGATGCTTTACAAAGAAATAATTTATTGAAATATAATCCAAACAAAATTGAAATGGCTGAATTACTCTTTGCTACTTTTTGTGTGGCTAATGTGCGGTTTGCCATCTGACTGAAAGTGTTACCTCGCAAATTAATATGTGCAAGGCACAGGAAAGTGAACTAAAAATAAATAGTGCAAAATAGCTTTTTATAATAAAACCATAAACAAAATTTACACACACACACACACACACAAATATATACAGTATATATATATATATATATCCATACACACACATATACTGCATGTACTGTATATATATACTATATTATTATTTAATTTATCCATCAACAAGCTTTTACTCACCATTTATCATTATAGTATATAGCTGGAGGATGCCTCATCTAGAAAAAGAAAACATGAAAAAGTATTATAATTTTTTTTAAATTATAAGCATTTGATAATAACATTCTAAAAAAATAACTATTACATTTTTTTCAAATAGCCTACATTTGTAAAAATTAACAAGATTTAAAATATATTTAAAAAAATATATTTGTAAAATTATATTAAAAAGTATATATATATACACTTTTTTATACAATTAAAAATAATATATATATATATATATAATGTAAGTACATATTTAATATAATGTAAATAAATACATATGAGCATTTTACAATTGGAAACCTGACATTAAAACGGCATATTATAGACTTTTCAGCTAAATTTAAACAAAACAATTATAATGCACAAAACAATTAATTAAAAAACGAAATAATTTTTTAAATAAAATTCCAACATTTAAATGTAAAACCTGTCGCATATAACAATATAATAAACATACACAGGACAACTTGCTCAACTTGACAACAACTTCCATGTGTGACAACTAGCCCCGGTGCATTGGAGCATCACTCCTGTTCCATAATCCAGTTTCTCTGATTCTCTCAGCGGTGTCGGTCCTGATCTGCCTTCCCACCCGCTTTGTTTCATGGGACCCGTTTCAAACGCTGTCTTTCTCAATCAGTTCAGCAATGCTTAGTTTTAGTTAACATGCCTAAACTGAGCTCTGAAGCTCAATGATGAGAAAGCAGAATGACAGCTCATAGAGGAGATTGAATAGAGAAGTTACGTATGGCAGGCGTCACAGAGCCGGTCCGCTTTAAACAGATCTGGCAGTGATGAAGAGTGTGAGCGCCACTGTACGGACCGGGTGCCACTATTAAGAGCTCCTCGAGAGCAAGAAAAAAAGAAGAAGAAAAAAAAACCAGCGTCTGATGTTTCAAGTATTGATCTTTGGGTATACTACACATCTGAAGGGGATATTTTAAAAGAATTCATCAGAATTTTCCTAAATTATTAGTAGTATTTGTAAGTTAACAAATCCCTAACACAAAGTATTCAACTTTGCTGTGTAATTAACATTATTTTGTGCTCTGGACACACACTCTAATCACTTTCTCAGGTACTGGATTTTCACTTGTCAGGCGAGAAAAAAGGTGAGAAAATCCCACAGATTTGCATTAGAAATGCCTCACATCACATTCCTCTTTCAGAGACCAAAATAACACTGAAACTGAATAGCAGTTCCTTTATAACATGTACATTTTTTTTTTTTCATTTTTAAACATTACATATAATTCTCAACAGATCTTTAGTACATTCAGAGAGTTGCCATGAAATTTTGATTGATATATTTTAATGCATAATCATATTTAAATGTACTTTAGCTAATGATCTGTTAAGTATTATAATGATTTTTAATGATTTAATGGAAGGCAGATTTTTTAAGAAGCACATTTGCTTATGCAGAGCCATTCTATGGAAAATGGAAGAGAAATTATCCATAAACAATACCAACATTTTTAATGTCATATTTTACACGGTAATATTTTTGTAACTGTAATTTATTTCTGTGATCAAAGCGGTATTTTAAGCATCATTCCTTAAGCATCATCCAGTCTTCAGTGTCACATGATCCTTCAGAAATCATTCTAATTGTAATAAATCATCTAATGATGATTTGCTGAAACCGTTTTTTAATATTATTAATGTTGAAAACAGTTGTGCTACTTCATATTTTGGAGCAAACATGACCATTTTTTTTTTTTCAAGATTCAAACATTTACAACATTTATTTGAAATCTATTAGAACATTATAAAGGTCTTTACAGTCACTTGTGATCAATTTAAAGCTTCCTACACACACACACACACACACACACACACACACACACACACACACACACACACACACACACACACACACACACACACACACACACACACACCCCACAAAAATTGTTCACAATTGTTCAGTAACATGCATTAAGAAAATAAATAGGGTCAGTGTTGATTTCATGCTGACTTTAAATAACATCAACAATCTCACCCAAAAAATAAAGCAAAAATCTGCAAAAGTCGCAGCACTCTCTTCATGGCTTGTATGCTGATATGAATGCTGCATTAGCTTCACACTGCCAGGATTGGTGAAACTTTCCTTCACTGCTAAACTCACATTAAAGGTGCATTGCGCAACATTTCATGTTAAAAATACCCGTTTATCTAACCCATACATGCTTAAACAATTGCCTGATGGGCTGAATGAGCCCTTCTCTGATCACTGCGATTGCCTCTATAATCCTGTACAGTAAAATAAATAAGAGGGATTCGGGCCGGAACGTGAGACTGGGCGTGACGTAGGGGTGTGACGGTTATTATATAACCGTGAGACCGACGGTTATAGTTGAACACCGTCATTAGAACTCTATAACCGCCAAAACCGTGCTATTAAAATATTATTTACAAACATTTTTTATCGTAGAGAATGTTTAAATACTAATATCAGCTTAAGAGGGAAACGGAGGCTGCTACTGCTGGAGATGATTCGGGAGAGGTCTGTGCACCTTTACCGATCAGAGCGCACGCTGACACGGAGTAAAGCCTTGTTTATACTCGACGCGTCCGCACGATCGCGAAGGTGCGCGCGGCAAAAATGACGCGTTCGGTGCGCACGACCGGCAAGACCCCATTTGGCTTGGCTGTGTGCACGGCTTTTTTTTGTAACAGCGCGCGCGGCGGCGCGTCCGAGGATGACCGACTTCAAGCCGAATCTGCCCGAGCATGTAGGCTACGTCTCACCGCACCGGCACGCAGTTTGCGCGTCTAAATTGCAAAGTTCATTCCAAAGTTTTTTCGTTAAGGTTTTGTTTACTGTGTGTGATTTATTTAAAAAAAAGCATGTTCATTGCAACGTTTGTTTGTTTTGTTAGTTAAGGATTTGTTTACTGTGTGATACATTTAATGGAAACCACATTCACTTCTAGTTGTCTTGCTGTTCATGTTAAATAAACGTAGAGCCAGTAGCTAATCAGTGTCTGCTTGTTTATTCAAACTAAATTGTCCTATAGAGCTGGTAAGTCCCGCCCCTTACCCCGCTGGACCTCTAGGTTGAAAATTCGTCAGTGCAAGTGAATGAGAGAAAATAATTATTTTCTAATCCCGTTTGAATTTTGCAATGAATGTGAACAAATGTTGTCTGTATATTTTTTATATAAATTTTCGTGTAAAGAATGCTACAATTTAGCGGGTAGAATTTTCATACGGTTAGACTTTGTGTGAGAGCACTTTGTGGACTACAACTCTTCGCTGCTTTCGACGCGTTTGATATACGTCACCACCACTAGCACACGGATCCCGCTAAACATCCCTTTCTTTGAATAATGACATTTGGGTACAAAACACACAGGCATCTCGATCTAATTCCTTAGATTATCGCACCGTGATTTGTGGAGGGAAAATGTGTTATGCGGTGACGTCACATATGCGACGTGTAGTCTTTCTCGTTATGTCTATTCCACAACTGCTAGCCAAAGAATCAAACAATATACTGTCAAACTCGTTACATGAGAAATTATATAAAAAATTCACAGACAACATATGTTCACATTCATGGCACGATTTCCATTACACGAGAGTAGATATTAAAACTTCATGCTGATTTGTACTTGGCTTTCGCCAAGATAAGCAAAACTAAGACGTAGCTTTACAGTAAACTATGCTTCACCCATTTACGCTTCTTTCCATAAGGTGGTGTGACTCCCCTTCTGTCCGGCGTTAACGGCTGCAGTGTACTTGGCGCGTCAGCGCACGCGACGGCTGCAACTACAGGACCAGCACGACAACCGTCTGGATTGAACCGAGTAGGGGACATCTCTAGGGTCTTCAAGTGGGCACCTTCAAAAAATTCAAACGGGATCAGAAAATAATTATTTTCTCTCATTCACTTGCATTGACGCTTTTATATAACATACATATTAACCTTAAATGAAAGTTTCGGGTTTGTCTCAAGATAACATCATTCGCCAGGTAGCCTTCAAGATGAGATGCCAGCACCACACACACACACACACACACACACACACACACACACACACACACACACACACACACACACACACACACACACACACACACACACACACACACACACACACACACACACACACACACACACACACACACACACACACACACAGAACTGAATGAGATAATTTCACAATCACAGAATGTTTATCAGGAACCAGGGAGAAAATTGTGTCTGTAAAAGCAGATAAAGACCTCAAAAGGCCAAATGCCCCTGTTAAAACAAGAAACGGCATCAGATCTCGGCTCGATTCAGATAAACTGTGTGTGGATTCAATTTATTAATTGTTTTTAGCCGGCGACACATTCAAAGCTAACTCTTGGATCAAATGCATTTTGCTATTGATTTGCCGTGGGGTTTTAAAGCACCTTTGATTGACTTAAAGAAATTGTGGCATGTTTAAAATTGCTGTAAATAAATCCAGGAGGGGAAAACTACATAATCGCTCCAAGAAGATTAAAGTCAACATTGATTCACAATTTGCCCCTATTTACTATCTTTATACATAGGCCTACATGCATTCTAAAGGGAAAAAATGTTTGTAGTAATTTTGCTCTGCATGATGTGCAATGACTTTCCATTTCGAATGTTTTCTGAATACCTTGCAATCCAATCAATCCTAAAAAAAAAAAAAAAAAAAAAAAAACGCTTATTTGTCTGAATAAAGACCTAGAGATCGGCATGGGTTTATTTCAGTAAGCCTAATAGCTTGTTTGATTTGCATTGAGAGATGATCTTATGGAAAGTACCCCATGCCAATCTCTCAATCTCAAGGGAACTTTATCAGGATGCATAGTATCCTGGATCCATGAAATAACTGGCCTTTAAAAATCAAAATCTGCCTGCCTCTATGGGAATTTAACATAGGGGTGTCCTGACTTATGCACCCTGTATTTTAAGGAAGAACATTTATTTATTTACGATACATTATTAATTCACAAAGAAAATTGGTGTCCTTAAAGGTTGGAGTTTTCCTCATTTCTTAAATTAAGGCATTAAGATCAATTTCCAAAAGATGATTTTATATTCCTCTTTTTAGTCAACTTTAGCATGGGTGTGTTCACTTTTGCTAAGCACTGTATATATATATATGGTGTGTGTGTGCTGTCAATCAAGACAATCAAGCTGACTATTGGAATAATTTGATCTTTTGATTAAATTAAAACCTCCAAATAATTACACTTAAAGATCACGGAAACATTAGGAACTGGTGCACTTTAAAAAATATGTTCAATGAATTGTCCTGCAACAAATTTTCATATTTTCTCATTTATCGTATTGCATAACTGTTTGGGGTCAAGCCAACCAAACCACAATTACACCCATTAGGTCATTATATAAACAGGCACTAAAAGTAATGGACCAGAAACCTGTAAGATGGCACCATTGCCTCATTCTACGGAAGCATAATATATTGAGTTTTGACAGTTTTGTCAATTTTTCATTTCTAAAACTAATTTTTAAGTTGTGTGAACAACCTTGCACCAGAAATATTCTGTCAACTAGTAGAGAAACAAAAGAGCAGAATAAAAACTAGAGGCACAATAAGTGGAAACTGTATCGACCTTATGCACCAGAGAAACGAGGGCGCAGCCATCTTTAGAATATTGTCTTTGAACTTCCGTTTTTGCGGTCGCTCTGTATATTTTTATGGCATCGCTGTCCAGGAGTAATTAGCTGGTGAAGTTGATTTACTTATTGTAGAGTTAACGAAAGTTATCATGAGCATTGTAATGTTTATGATAAACATTGTAAAGCATATGTCTTAACAAATGGACCTTGGGAATTTTTATTAACAAGCCAATCATTCATAACTAGGCAAGATCGCTGTGAAAATACAAACCGGAAGTCAAAAGACAATGAGCTCAGCGCGGAAAAGGGGCGTGGCAACATAAGGTCTATAGTCGCAAAACGTAGAACAACATTTGGTCAGACATCATTTTCAGTAAGAGGTATACATTTGTGGAACGCTTTACCATCCGAAATTAAAGGAGAACTCCGGTGCAAAATTAACCTTTGGTCTAATAAAACATTGGTACCTAGTCAACCGTTCTCTGAGATTTGTTTTCATGATAATCGAATGTAAAGAGTTTTATCTCTAAAAACTGTTTAGTGTAGTAATGGGGGCATTTAATAAGTAAAAAGAAATCGCTAGTTAATACCACTAACAAGGCTCAAAATAGCCCCACACGAACACAGTAACATAATGAGGGTCCCTACATGCAAAACAAAGCATTGAGAACTTTGTAAGTGTACAGACTGTTTAATAAGAAGATATTTTATGAAGACAGTCCACTTCGTGTATACAGACAGGAGCCATCTTTGGAAAACAGTCTCGACTAATCAAACCACGAACGACGTGCTAAGTGAGCTGAACTGTATGAATGGCGTTCGTGGTTTGATTAGTCAAGACTGTTTTCCAAAGATGGCTCCTGTCTGTACATTGACAGAACTCAAGGGTTTTAATCAGTGGTGTAGTGCAGGGTATACGCAGTTATACGGCGTATACCCACTTCTTTTTCAGTTGGCATTGCGTATACCCACTTCTAAATCCCCTCTGATGTGCATCATTTAGTAGCTAATCCAATCGGATGCAGTGATCCCTTGATTACCCGACCCCCACCCGCACGCACGCCCAACGCCAGATTGGACCAGAGCACTGTCAATCACTACCTGATTCGCTGCCTGGAATTTTGACAATTCTCAATGCAATTTTTAAATATTGCTGCCTTTAGAATATTTAATCAATGAGTTAATAAGAAAGATGAAGCGAACTACTCAAACAAAAATTTGTTTTCAGAATAATAACAAACGACTTTGTAACGATACATCGGTGCTGTTAGCCAGCAGCTCAGCTACCGATAGCCAAGCGACAGCGCCCGCGCACGCTCCCGCTCCGTTCCCCACCCCAGTCGACAGTGACAGAGATGCTGCCTTTTCAACTTCAATTTTGAATGAAGACGTCAATCAAGATGAGCATTTTTTAATAGCAAGACCTTGTAAATTTTGTTAATAACATTTGTCAGGGCTCGAAATGACCATTTGCCCATCACTGTGTAAAACAGTGCGTGTCATAGGATACACAGTCAGTTGGAGTAGAGCAGCACAATTCTGGATAAGTTGAGAATCACAACTTAAATTCAATTTTACGTTTTAATTAATGATTAAATGACTCACTCATAAAAACGTCACTTGCTTGATTACTGGATGATTCAGTGTTTTTGAACGAATCTCTTGAATGAATGATTCAGTGACAAATAAATTTAGATTTCGCATTGTTTGTAAACTCTGGTTGACTCAATAATATGCCAATTCAGAGTTCTTCACATTGCGTGCAACTGACTGTTAAATGTTTAGGGACCCCAGTTATGCCACTGCTAAATGTAAAGCATGCTATTGTCACAGTTTGTGACACAATTAAACCATTTAGTGACCACTTATACGTGGAAGGGGGATTTTCATTAAGAGTGAAAGATGAAGTTGAACACTTAAGATGTTATTTTTTTTAAATGTGTGTCTGGCCCAAGAAAATGCATCCCACACCACAAGAGTGCCTGCTTTCAATATAATATGCATTACTTGAATGCTTTTATTATTTTGACAGCTACCTTTGCTGTTTGAAATTCTCATGGCAATGAACTCAATATAGTAATGTTCATGTTATAGTAATTGTTTCATTTGTTACATGTATAGCCCCAAATAATATATATATATATATAAATGTTTATTATATAGTATAGCCCATAATTCAATCACTCATGTTGTTGTGTTTTTTTATTTTGTTTTTTTATGTAGATACCAGTAATGACTGCCCAGACCTGTGGACAGCCAAACAAAAAGAAGATTTTAAATCCAAGTACCCTTGGTTAGGATACAAAAACAAAAAATTGGGTAAGTTTAGGTAGATTGTTAGTTTTGACAGCTTCTAAAATGCAGTGAACACAGAGAAATATACAATTTGTGTGCTTGCATGTATGTGGGAGAAATGGACACACATACAAATATGAAAACAGTAGTTACATTGTTTATGCTTCACAGGGTGCCTGGTCTGTAGCAGTGTGAACTCCATTGGGATCGTCAAGGAGCAAGGTGTATCTCTCTCAAAAGAATGGATGAACTTTGAAATTCAAGCATCTGGCCAGGGAAGTAGAGAGACAAGCCTGTCAGTCTTGAGAAATAAGGTGAGGAAACATGCTTTGTCTAAGGTGCACAATCAAGTTGTGAAGATGAGAGAACAACAGAAAGAAGCGGTCATTGAGAATGTGGTGGAGGCTATGACTGAGTCCTACTTGAAGGAAACCGAAGCTGTGTTTCGAACAGCCTACCATTTGGCCAAAAAGAACAGACCCTTTTCTGACTACGAGAGCCTCATTGAGCTGCAGGAATTGATTGGTATAAAGATGGGCTCAATACTTCATTCACGTTAGAGTGCAACACAAATAATTAAACATGTTGCCAATGAGATGCAGAGCAAAATCATCAATAGCATAATAGCATCATCGAGTAAATTAGCTGTCCTAATTGACGAGGCCTCTTCTTTAAGTCACAAAGCTGTCATGACAGTTTCAGTTAAAGCATCAGTCCAAGAAGAAGAAAGCCCTGAATTCATATTCCATGAGCTTGTTGAACTGGACAATCAGAGAGCAGATGGCATAGTAGAGGGTTTACTCACTTGTTTAACTAATGCTGGCTTTACAGAAGAATGGTTTCTTGAAAACTGGGTAGCATTTGTGACTGATGGCGCCAGCGTCATGTTAGGAAAAAAGTCAGGAGTAGCAACCAGGTTGACCTTGAAATTCCCAAAGCTTTTTTCATGGCACTGTATGAACCATAGACTTGAACTAGCTGTGTCAGATGCAATTGATGAGGTAAACTCGGTCAATCACTTTAAAGCTTTTATGCACAAGCTATATTCTCTGTATAGTATGTCAAACAAAAATGAGCGTGAACTCAAAGATGCAGCAGCTGAAGTAGGCTCACAACTTCTTCGCATTGGCAGAGTCTTGGATGTACGCTGGGCGGCCAGTAGCTTTCGGACTGTTCATGCTGTTTGGACATCACTGGGAGCTCTTGTGCAGCACTTTAAGAATGCTTGTTCTGATGAGAGGAGGTCCAACACAGAAAAGCAAATGTACAGAGGTTTACTGGACCGTGTTCAAAGTCCTGAATTTATTTGTGACCTTGGGCTCATGTATGACACACTCCATGAACTAAGTGTCCTGTCACAGGAGCTTCAGGCTCGTTCTATAACTCTCCTCAGAGCAGAGCATCTGCTGAAACGCACAATCAGAGTGATACATTCATTTAAAGAGAGTCCAGGTGAGAAATATGGTGAGGCTTTAGAAGCAAAAGAGAGTGGGGTGTATCGATGTATAGCCTTGAAAAGAAATACAAAGCTCAAGTCTATCAATCCAGGACAGTTCTTACAAAGCCTTATGAACAATCTTGAGCAAGGCTTGTCTTTCGAAGATGAGACCATCAAGGACCTCAGCATCCTTGATCAGAGTAAATGGCCATCAAACCCCAGCGTCCGCCATGGTGAAGAACAAGTTAAGTGACTGTGCAAGCGATTTAACTTGTGCACAGACCAAGCACTGAATGGGATGCGGGACCTACTGGAAGAGCCCAACAGTGAGCCCAATGACCTGAAACCACTCATTAACTGTATGAAAACATTCCCTGTCAGCACAGCAGAGTGTGAGAGGAACTTTAGCCTTATGAACAATATAAGCACAGACAAAAGGGCTGTCCTACTGGTCTCAAACATATCAAACTTAATGATGATTAACATCAACGGACCCCCTACTTCAAAGTTTGATCCTAGAAAGTATACAAGGACCTGGTTGAAGAGCCACCGTGCTGCCTCTTCTGTGCGTTCTAGACAGTGCAGTGTGAAAACCCCTGCAGAGAGCAAGTGTTTCTGGAATATACTGTAGTACAGGGGTAGACAGTACTGTGCAGGTTTTTAAACCTGTCAAAAGCCTGACTATAAATTCAAAATCAGTTATTTATTTCATATTTATGAAATTGCACTACTGAAGTTAAGTCCCTTGAGCCAAAAATATAAGCACTTATTTAGAAACCCTGCATGAGTATATCATTGTGTGTAAAATGTATATATTTTTGTTATATATATTGTTATGTTTTAACATTGTTTTGAATATATTGTTTAATTTTTTTTAATGATGATGATAATGATATTTTAATGTTAAAATAAACTAATCTAATATGATATATTCAAGATGAAGTAAGCATGGTGTTTCATTGTCCAATTTTCATGTGTGGATGGACTAAGGAATAGTCACTCAAAATACATAATTATTTAGTTGTCTCTCTTCCTATAGTCTGTGGGCCAGACGGGCCAGTATTACGGTAATTGCAAAAACTGCACCTCTTCTGTGGCTAATATTTATTATTATACCTCCGTGAGGTTAAGTAGCGAAAGTTAAGTGATAATGTGCAAATACTACTGGCCCATTTTGGAGTGAACTAATATGCAAGACTAGTCTTACATGCCACTGTTTAAAACACAGAGCGTTCATCCTTTGCTGGGACGCTTAAAAAAATATTGGCGCATAAATTAAGAGTATACCCACTTCTCCAGGCACCACTACATCACTGGTTTTAATACACATTTAAAGCAATGGCTGAAACTGAAACAACTCTGTGAACACTGACTGTACAGGATACAACACAATGCATACAAACATTATGTTGCATATGTTAGCACGCACAGACATATGCACTTTTGTGTTCTTGTATTGTTAAATGTGTCTAGACTCTTTTTTATAGTGATCTCTACATCTACTTAAGCCCTTATCTTATCTCATGTATGGGATGTATTATTTATTGTATGTATTTTTATTTAACCTTTATTTAACCAGGAAAATCCCGTTGAGATTATAATCTCTTTTTCAAGGGAGTCCTGGCCAAGACAGCGGCACAGATCACAACAATTCAGTACATTACAGACAATTTCATAAGACTATTTAAAAACATTCACAAACCATAGATTTAATTTCCAAATTTTTGAGCAAGAGTTTAAACTGGCCTGTTGAAACCAGTTCCTTTAATTTCCAGAATTTTTGTAAGTTGTTCCATTATAAGTATTTTAATAGCTATAAATTTTAAACTCAATACTCTGTAATTTCTGTTTTAATTTTATAAGCCTAACCAGGGACAGGGGTTGCAAATTAGTCATGGCTAGAAACCTGTATGCATGGCATCTACTTTGTATTCTTTATAAAGCAATGTTTTATGCATTTCTCCCTGTCAAATAAACATTAAATAAAAATAAATAAATAGAATACAGTTATATTAGCAAAAGAGATTTGAGATCCAGAGTCTGATGAGGAACACAATCACAATCCATCTTCAGGTTGTTGTTGTGACAGGTGCAGATTCCCCCAGACACAGCCCGACTCATCCCGAGTGACACCTGTGCGGTTTGCCACAAATGCACGAGAAAACCGCTATGAAATCCTAATCCCATTATGCCGTTTTGAGGCTGATACAAAATTTTATGGCTAGTCATTTTTCTCAATTCACCCACCAGTGGCAGGAATAGCAGATTGCCTTTTAATCATAATAGCATTTTCAGTCTCTCTCGCATTGATTTAAGCCGTTTCATATCTTACGACTAACCTCTTCTCAAATATTTTTCATCAATAGTTTTGCATAATTACTAGCCAATTGCAAGCGCCACTATGCAGTGCTCCTCTTGTAAATGAGGCTGTTATCCGCTAATTTCTTTCTTTAGAAGCTTGATAGAAACACGTATTGGTTTTTGTTGCTACAGAATGAAAGCGTGAGCTGCACACGCTTTTGTTTCATAAGCTGATGAATTTGTACATGAATTGATTTATTTAGGGACCCCCGTCTGAAGCTGAATCAATTGAGAAAATTAAACATGCACACTCCGTTCCAAAACCTAGTGAGCTGCCTTGCTGTTTACAGTCTACTTAGGGAGCATTGTAAGCGTTATGGAGTCCGTAAGTGAATGATCTGAAACCCTCTAACATACGCAGATGCTGTGAATCACACACTTAGTGCATCTCACACAAAAAGAGCAGAGGAGACTCGACGTACAACTGATTACAATAGAAGTTTGAGTTGGTATTTTACTAAGCTTTGCAACATTTTGTTAATATTTTTTATAGTGCTGTCAATCAATTAAAAAAATTATCGCGATTAATCACAATTAAAAACACATCTTTTATAGGTTTATATTTACATTATATATTTTATAATGTAATCATTTCACAGTTAATCTCCAAATTAAAGGGATAGTTCACTTTGAAATAAATTTTTGGTATGTTTTAGCTTACCTCAAGGGTAAGCTAAAACACGTTCTTGTAAGGTCAAACCGTTCTTGTCTGTCAGTCATATAATGCAGGTCTATGGTCACCACCTCAAAGAGCATGCACAGAGAAGTCCAAATTAAACATGATTTAATGACTCGTAAATGTAAGTACATTGATGGCCTAAGACACGAAACGAGCGGTTTGTGTGAGAAAACGAACAGTATTTATATCGTTTTTACCTCTTGTAACCACAGCCACATCCAAGTGATCTGAGGGCGCGGGCGCTTCGGTCTGTGCGTTACAAGAGGTAAAAACGATATAAATACTGTTCGTTTTCTCACACAAACCGCTCGTTTCGTGTCTTAGGCCTCAATGTGTACTTACATTTACGAGTCATTAAATCATGTTTAATTTGGACTTCTCTGTGCATGCTCTTTGAGGTGGTGACCATAGACCTGCATTATATGACTGACAGACAAGAACGGTTTGACCTAAAAATATCAAAATTGAAACTACTGCGGAAACAAAGACACCTACATCTTGGATGCCCTTGAGGTAAGCTAAAACATATCAAAAATTAATTTCAAAGTGAACTATCCCTTTAAAGCTGCTGTAGGTAACTTTTGAAAAAATGTATTTGCTAAAACTGTCATTATGTCCTGACAGTAGAAAATCAAGCTCTTCTGGCTCCTCCCAGCTATTGCCATTTGCAAGAAATACACGCTCCCGGTCAGAAACAACCAATCAGAGCCAGGAGGAATGTCTTAGCAGTGTCAATCACGCTCGTGTCCGCGCTGATCACACCCCTCTCTTGCACAGCGAGCCGTCGTTCAAACTCAAGATTGCCGGCGTGCTGCAGCTGTGCTTATGACGGAGAAACAACCTAAACTGCCAATTCTCCAGTGACACCTGCTCATAAAACAAAGAGGTAAAAGGAAAAAGACTGATGACGATAAACAAGCGAAAAAGAAAGAATTACACAGAGCCCATTGACTCGGTGTCAAAACTCTAGCCGCATAACATGTAGATAAAATGTCACGCACTCTGCTAAGCGACAATTGAAACCTGCTAATTCACTGGCTTGTCATGTTGCTGAAATAATGTACTAGCACACCTTATCTAGCATTATATATCGCTAGAATAATTACTTACATACAGTAACGTTAGTTACCGTTATATTAACGTTATCTTACTAGCTATTTATAACTTATAGAAAGAGTGCAATGTTATAAAGGTACATGTATTGCAAAATACATAATGATTTGAGGACCAAGTTTGTAGTCAAAGTATGGGCAGGCCATAGTCAATGTAAAGCATATTATTGACGTTTAGTCCCTATTAGTGAATGTGCCATATAACTTTTTTATCCGCCGTCATCGGTGGCCCTGTTTACTAGCCTGCGCGTTCACGACAGGCTCCGCTGTGGAGGACGAGCTATGGAGGCAGGGCTGTAGTGCAGCAGAGAGCAAGGGGGTGGGACCTGGAAGTTGTGCTTGTTCAAATTTTCAGGCTAAGTCAACATTTTCTCAAAACTCCCTACTGCAGCTTTAATGTAGAAGCAACATAAAGACAGTATATTATAAATACTTGTTTAATGGCATCTTTTTATGAATGAAGGTCAGTATCACTGATACTAATAGCTCTCTGTCATGAAATTATAATACAGCTAATACAGCTCTATGTCTCCATGAATATTCTTTACTCAAGAGCAGTGAGTCATTTTCTCTGTTACCTTTGTTCTTTGATTAACTTTCCTGACAGACATAATTATTGGCTACTGTCACTTTAAGACCTGCCGCTGCTGATAGAGACCCTGATCTCACACGCGCGACGCGTCTCATTCTCTCACAACTCTTTGCGTTCATTTAAGACTTTATTTAACTCATTTAAGACTGTTCTGACTGTTGTTATGAGGATACTCGACAAAACGGACATTTGGCATAATTGTGTGTGTTAATGTTCACTCAAGAGCGAAAGAGAACTATTATGGCGTTATTCCCCTGTCAAATGTCGAGAGCGCATTATTGTAGCGCGAAAGTACATTAATTTAATGCGCGAGCGTGAATCTCAATGCTCGCGCGCGGAATATAATGTGCCGAGCACGAATCTCTCTGCTCGCACGCGGGAACTGGGCGCGCGCTCTCAGATACACGCTGCTCTTGTAAGAATTTTCTCTGGGCTCGCTCAGAGAATATGCCTGCACTTAAAATGTGTTCAGTGCAATCGCGAATCTCTCCTCTTCGCTTAAAGTAAGCGTGTATGTGCTTAGACTGTGTCCCGTGCGTTCGCGCATGCCTAATTACTCTTCTCTTCGATTTCTTTCTCTTTGCTTTAAACGGTAAAGCTGTCAAAACGGCAACAACCAATCAGAAATTGCTAGAAATTGCTATTCCATATGTTATTCATATCCTTTTTTTCTGCTGTTCTGTAAAGCACTTTGGCCAGCCAGTAACTGTTGTAAAAATGAGCTATATAAATTAAATGAACTTTAACTTGTGAATGTCATTGGTTGTTTTTGGTCATAATTCTTGTCCTTGTGTTCCCATTGTCTCTTGTCTAGCTTTGTTCCCTGTACCATTGTTGGTGATTCTGTGTTTAGTCCAAGTTTATGTTCATGTTAATTTCATATTGTCACTTCAACCCAAATCGGTTTATTGGAATAAACTATACTTGGGTTCAATTCAACTCGACTTCAGTGGACTACATTACACATATTATAGACATGATTCATGGGTCTTTTTATTTATTTTTGTCTTAATTTTAAAATCTGAAAGTTCTTGTTTTTCTTCATATAGGCCTATTATATAGGCTACCTTGTTATATAAAAAACATTAAGAAAGGTTTTAATAATTATTAAAACCTTTCTTAATGTTTTTTTATTGAATAAAACGTTTTTCATTATCTTAGAAAAACATTAAGAGAACGTTTATATAACGGGAGAATTGAACGTTTGAATAACGTTCTTATAACCAAGCAAGAACGTTAATACAACGTTTATATAAAGGGAAAATTGAACGTTCTAACGTTATTATAACCAGGAAATAACGTTAATACAACCAACGTTTATATAACGGGAGAATTGAACGTTCTTATAACCAAGAAATAACGTTAATACAACGTCTAAAAAAGTGGACGTTTTGAAATTCCCTAAAACATTCAGAAATAACGTTTTTATAACTTAATGGGAACGTTATGAAAACGTTCTTATAACCTAAAATTGTTAGCTGGGGAAGAGGAGAGATTCGCGATTGCACTGAACACGTTTTAAGTGCAGGCATATTCTCTGGGCGAGCCCACTCAGCCCAG